GGAACCCGGCACCTCCTCGTACCCAGCCCGAGGAGATCACCCCAGCAGCTGTTAGTCAACACCTGACCCGATATGGACCATCTCCGTCTTCTGGTGCCCTTGAGCTTGCCAGGAAACATCAAGCTGTTCCTGGAGCACAGCTAAGGAATAGGGTGTGCAGCTCCATATGCGTTAGGGGCAGCCTGCTGCTCAGAGCTCGATCGGGTGTGAGTTGCGACTGTCAGCCGTAGCTTCCACCTTGGAGGAAATCCACCCTTCTTCCGCGCAATTCGGTCCAAGCGACAGCGCTGCCATCTGTGCCCGGCACTCGAGGCGCTTCCTCCTCCTCCGCGTTAGGAATTTAAGCGGTATGAAATGATTTCACCTGTACAAAGACAAAAGAAATTTGATTTTCCTGTATTTTACACAGCTTTTATATATATATATAGTACTTTGTGTAGCGGGTCCTGATCCATATTGCTCCTTCTACAAAGGTGGTAGTGCTAAGGTGTGGGGAAATCCACCTGGAAATGGCTTTAATGCAATGCTCCAGCAGCAGAGCTTGTTGCCCGCAGAGTTTTTCTTCTTAATTGAGTTACTTTTATGAGATTTCTTTAAAGGTGTCAGGAGACAAAGGAAAGCTGTGTTAAGCGAAGAAGAAAAAGGTTCTTGTTTTCCAGCAGATGTTCCGCAACTGTCTGTACCTAGAGGAAAAAGTAAGTACAACCAGATTAGGCTCTGTGAATTCTGAATTGTTGTGCAGCTTTGACTCAATTTTTCTGGTTTCTTCTTTTTTTTAATCATAATTTAAATTTATCATTAATTACTTTTTTTCTCGTAGCCAAGTTGTCTGGTTATCTTCAGGCAGCCTACTGAGAAATCAGGGAAGGTTCCCATCCTCTAATGCTAAGTGAAAAAGGTGTAAAGTATCTATATGTGATTTCACTATGCTCTCAGTTCAAAAAAGAGAGATGGAAAAGGTCCTTTCACCAGTAACGGCAGCAGATTGAAAGGTAGAGCCCAAAGGACAAGAAATTAGTTATTTTGATTTAAACTGGATAGAAGCCATGTAAACACCCACCAGCCACGTGAAGTGCGAGGGAAGTGGTCACTGCAGAGCTGTTGTGCAATGGAGAAGGAATTTCCCCGGCGTTCGCTTGGCCCTCCTCTACAGCTGCTTTTCTCTCGCACAAGATGTGCAACAGAACAGGAACGTGTGTGTTTGTTTATGGGAGCCTCCCAAGAGCCGAGCAGGAGCCAAGCAAGAACTTCAGCTCCTCCGGATACACAGGCTGGTAAATTCATCTCCTCTCTCCTGTTGGGAGCATGTCCCCATCCGACCCCGTGGGCTGCAGGTGCTCACTCACCGACCACCCAGAGCTCACCCTCTGCCGACAGCTATTGTCCCTTTTCACCTGGGTTTTACGCTTCTGAGTATCCAGCATGCCTGGATGAAGACATAAGCCAAACATTTGCCTCAAAGAATGAGTGACTCGCTAGTAACGCCAGTTTTTTGCCCTGCACATTGTTTCACGGTGTTATTTCTTTCACAGAAGGCACGTGGCACCCAAAAAGCAGCAAGTACTTCTTCCTTCAGAAAACGTCACCCTGGCCTTGCAATCTTTCAGGAGACATGACGGGCCTTTTGTAGGACGTGCTTTTTTTGAACAACTGCACAGAGAAAGTTTCACTGCGACGCAAGGTGGCAGAGGCAGTTCTGGTGACAAGTAAACCTTCAGGAAGGAACAGGGTCCTTCCCGGAAGAATCGAGTACATCTTTTACACTGCATATTTAGATTACACCACGCAGGTACAACAGGGATTAGAGGAGGCTTTGTCCTTCCTTTGCCACGCCAGAGCAGCGCTTCATGTCAGTGAAAGGACTCCAGTAAATCATCCTTCCTCCATCCCCTCCAGACAACAAGGAGATTGCTTTTGCCTCTAATTTGTGTAATACTTTCCTGCTATGGGATCTTGAATGGACTCTTGAACCCTCAGGTTTTCATGCAACAGAAAATTGTGTTGAGCTCACCACAGTAGGGTACTGCCAAGAACCAGGCTCAGATTCTGCTGCTATTTGTGACCTTTTCTTATTTTTTTAGGCTTTGTCAGTAGGAGTTACGCCTCAAGTCAAAATCACACCTTGTGTTTTTACAACCTGAACTGTCCCGTATCCCCTTCTGGTGAAGGGCAGCAAGCGTCAGCACAGCAAGACAGACAAATATTTTGTCGGAGTCCCATGTGCAAATTCGCTATTGAAGTTAAAAGTGCAAACCTGATGCTGAAAATACTCTATCAGCAGCGATGGTTTGAGTCTAGCAATAACATCTGATATGTTTTCCCGGATGTTTTCCAGTACACACAAATAGTAAATGCCTCCGTCATGTGTTTAACAGATAGAGCAGTGCTCTACTCGCCATAAAAATAACTGTGAGAGCTGACAAGTCTCTTGCCAGACCTAATACTGTTTTGTTTTGTTGCCTCTAAGTATTCGTGGTAATAACAAAATCGGACTTTCTTTTTTGTGTGTGTTTTGCTAAACATCTATTGTTTTCTGTGGTATCTGCATCGTGAAGGAAGGAACAATTACATACTTTGCTTATGATGTTATTCTGCTGAAACGCTGCTTATATTTTCACAGCAAACACTAGTCTATCCTGGTGGATCATAGCTTTTTTCCTACTGCAGAAAGCAGGTTCCTCTGTGAGGTTAAATCTCAAGAGTAGCTCAGTCACTCACAGGCAGTACATGCAACACTCTCCCTCCTACCGCTAGTAAAGACCCTGTGCTGCCCTTCCCCTGCACAGCTACAAGGAACCGTGAAAGGTGACAAAACCTGGGTGTTTCTGGCCAACGCTGCTGGAAATCTGACATGCATTGCCCAGGAGAGTGGTTGAGTCCCCATCCCTGGAGGTGTTTAAAGGTCGTTTAGATGTGGTGTTGGGGCAGATGGTTTAGGGGTGAGCTGTGTAGAGCTGGGTTAGTGGTTGCACTCGATGATCCCAGGGGTCTTTTCCAACCTGAACGATTCTATGAATAAGTAGCCTTGGAGAGCCTGGAGTGTAACAATAGCTACTCTTTACTAATGCATCCCTGACCCGTATTTACTAGTCACTCCACAAACAAACCAACCAATGCAAAGCTCTTTTTGTCTAAAGAAATGCCATCCTCGGTAGGAGAGCAGAGCTAGCAGATGGGAGAGCGCTGGGAAACAATGAGACAATGCCGGCTGGCAGGCGAGAGGGGCCCCGGCACTCGGGAGCAGAGGCGCTGCCAAGGACGTGGTGGCAAAGGGGAGCTCAGCAAGTGAATCAGGAAGAGGAGCTGTTACAACCGAGCGAGGATTCAACAATAAAATGTTGTTCTGCTGTGAGGTTTTCAAGATTTTAAGTTTCCAATTGGAAACTGCCAGGCAGCAAGGCCGGGACGACACCTGTGACAGTGCCACAAACTCTTCTGTGGTCGAACTTGACACAAAAAGCAACGCTCAGCCAGTAGTAACCAGTCAGAATTCAAAGGAACACCAGTGCCACTGGTTTATCAGTCCAGCCCTAAACATTTATTGAACAGGAAATACTAGTGCTATGAATCAGAAAAAAACAACTGAGGCTCTTTCGAAGAGAAGACCAATCCAAGCAGTAATTTCATTAAAGGATAATCCTTTATAGAGGATTTTCTCTTACAAGGCTGAAAAACTTCCCATCTCTGCTTAAGCTCTGCGGGGAGTACCCAAAACAGCCCAGTGCTGGAGAGCCCTCTGCGCTTCCTGCGGGGCAGAATAGGAGTCTTCCAGGGCCTGACTCTGGGCACCCATCCCCAACCCGATCTCCGACCCCTTCGGTGAACCTCAGAGGAACTTGGAAGAGATTAAGCTTTTAAATAATAATCCTCCCCTTCCAATTGAGCAAAGTACTTAAGCTCCTCACTTTGATGGCATATTTTTAATACAGAGCACTGGTGCTAGTTAAACAACTTTGGCTCTTGTTGGCGTAATTGCAAAGGATAACCAGTCATGACAAAAAAATACTTAAAACATTTCAGAATTACAGAATGCTGGCGTTGGAAGGGACCTCAAAAGACCATCTAGTCCAGGCCCCTGCCAGAGCAGGATCACCTACAGTAGATCGCACAGGAACGCGTCCAGACAGGTTTTGAATGTCTCCAGAGAAGGAGACTCCACAACCTCCCTGGGCAGCCTGTGCCAGTGAAAAAATATTCTGAACACACTCATACCAGCAAAGTTATTTTCTAAATTGGTTTTATAAAAAGCCTAAATTAGGATGAGAATATGGACTCTTGTAATGGATATAGAAACAGATTTGCCTAAATAGAATCTGATTCAAAAGTCTAAATGCCCCAAGATTTTCACATAAAAACTTCAGATATGCTTTCATGTCGAAGTAATGATGCCGACAAGGGATGCTACAGATGCTGTTACAGCTGGAAAAAAATACGTTATTGCTCCTATGAAAACAAACTTGCTTATTTTCTACAGTTAAGAACTTCCAATGCCATCTTCCAAGGTCTTTCTCAGGATGTGACAGGCCTGTAAATTTTTATAACCTTTTATTCCCTTCAAGTGTCAGAGCTCTATCTCCTTCGTTCATCTCACTCACGAGAACTGCCTTCTGCAGATAAATGCAACAGAAAAAGGCCACCATTCTTGTTTTCCGCGTTCATCTCCTTGAACAAAGGAACATAACTTCAGCGCTGTATTTCAGGTCAGGTTGGCTTGCTCAGCTTTGCCAGCCTGATTTCTTCACCTAATAAGAACTCTTTTCTCATCAAATGCTCCCTGCCAGCAAGACCAAATAAGCATGTGTGTGCCTGAAAGGGAGCTAACAAAAGGAAAAAGGTTTGTTGTATCTGGACAGGAGAGGCCTAAATTTTTCAGACTCTAAGCTCACAAGAGATACAGAGATTATTTGTCTCCTTTTCTGAGTTTAATTTGGTATTTGAGGGGGGGATGGGCTTGCTCAGCCCATGTGAGTGGGAGAAAGCATGACTTGCTTACTTTCTACCTTCTTTGAAATAGGCTCTGAACCTTACTGCTCACTTCCTTTGTAAATTTAAAAACATCAGAAGAATTTCCTATAACATCAAAGTGAGTATCATAAGGAACGATCAAAACAGACGGGTAATGGGGTTTTATACGTCCACAAGCCCGCCGATAGATCTCCTTTTCACCTCTAGTATGCTTCTCAAACGAGATCCTTTCTTTACGTAAATTGTTATGGAGTTTTATGGACTGATTTTCAATTCTCTCTTTCACTCTTAATACTCGTCCAGCATCAGACCTACTTCCAGCACTCTCGATGTATAACGTAGTTGTATCACCATCGGTGATGTCAGAAATTACAACGTCATTGTTTACTAGGAATGTCCTGGAAAAAAAGGACTTCATGTACCGATAGACATCTGCGTCAAGAACAACCACTTGTTTTTCTCCACCTGCATCATGAACAGAACTACTCATCTCCGTGGCATGTCTGTATTGCTGCAGCCTCCTCCTTGGTCTCTGATGGGACTTACTTTCTTCTTTTTTTTCCTCCTCTGAAAGGGATTTTGCCTTCAGTAAGAGAAAGTCTCTTAGCAATTTGATCGCTGGAAACGACCCTTGAACACAAATATGCCCATTGGGTTGCAAAGGACCAAATCTCAAAGCTGTGCTCTTCTTTTTCATTTCTTGTATCAGGTCTTCTAAGACAAATTGATCTTTGAAAATAGACATGTTGAGGATAGATGTGACAGAGCCGAAGACCTAAAATTTGGAATGAGAGAAGTTAAGTAACAGTTAACATAGCAACGGAAGTACAACCAGATAAATTACAAATGAGCTTACATTTTCGCAGTAGCGGGTTACTTTGAGTGGATAGTATCTGGCCAGCCTCTTGTCTTCTAGTCGATGTTGATCCTTCTTTAGAACGCTCTCTACAACTGCAGAGAAAGCCAGATTCACTTGTTGTGCAGTAAGAAAATGTATCATTGCCAGTCTGACGGTGCAACACTTCACGAGTGTTTTTCTCTTGATGCTTTCCCTAGCAATTTTCCATACATACATGCAGGCGATTCGATACTCTTGCCTGATAATTTATGGATTAGTCAAAATTGTTCAGAGAGAGATAGAAGCCTGTCTTCTTAGAACACTAATTGGCAGAGACTTATTCACAAAAGCCTAACTACAAAAACTGTGTATGTTACACATGGTATAAATTTATTCCTAAAAGCAAACATAACCAACACTTTGCATGAAGCCTGTTCAGAGTCATGATTTGACTGAAGAGAAATAAAATCCTAAAACTCTGCCTGACTAAAAAAGAAATGCTAGTGTCCTAGTTCTATAAAATTCCAGTAACAGTAAACAATTCAGGATAATTTGGTTTAGGATTAACATTCCCTAATTGTTTGGAGTATGGCTATATTTACAATAGTGCATTAATCTAAATACCTTCTTCATCTTCAAAAGTAATGTAGGCCACTCCTTCTTCCCACGTTGGGTATATCACCTCTTCCACATCGCCGCCGTTATTCTTCGACATTTGGAAATGAATCACCAGGATGTCTGCCATAACGTCATCGTGCAGAAGGCCTTGGGGAACACCAGCGATGACGACCGTCCGCGCCGATTTAGCAGCTCGCCCCGTTGCCTGCGCACACAGACACAGCACACCATAAGCATGGGGAGCACCGGTGACCTTCCACGACACAGGTTACCCAGATTCACCCCAACGATCATCAAAGTGCACGGACAACACGCGTGTCTGGTGGGTAACTAAGAAGACTCCCAAATCCATTCACTTTGGTGAGTGCCAGGCACCTTCTCGTGCCTTTACATCACTGTGTGGTAAAAAATACCTGACTCCCTTAAGAGTAATTTATACGCTCTTGGCATTTTATATTCTTAGAGCAGTAAAAAATACACCTAAGTTGAGCAGTTGCTCAAATGAAAGGTCTGGTGTCACACTGAGAAGGTCGTTTCCTCCAATTCTAATATTCAAAATTTGAAGAGAAAGAAAAATTTTCATCGCGCGCACTGTTCACTGTCCACTTTTCAGAGTGGAAGGGTCAGATTCAAATTCTCCTGACTTGTTAAATTCATGAGAGTTGAGATCTAGGGCTGTGCTCTGACATCTCTCTCTACAATAAATGGAAAACCTTCTTAAATTGGACAAACACAATCCCAGTCATCTGAGACTTGCAGTGGGTAAAACAACTAACCACACACATGATTTTCATCAGAGCCAAACCTCCCAACACTGCAAACGTGAAACTCATCCTAAATAGGATTTGCATCCATGTCTTGTTAAGAAAAACATATTTTCTTTCCATTCTTATTACACAGGCATAAACAGTAATATTTCACTGGGAATATCACAGCAAAATCACTGTAAATGGTGGAGCACTAAGTAAATTTTGTAACAGTTCACTGACTTTTTTGGAAGAAAGAAAACAATTTAGTATGTCTGCATGGCAGTGTTCGTGGGAATGAACTGTCAGTAAGTTCAGAGCGGCTGTACTAGAGGTCAGTCATTCCACATAAATTCTTTAGACTTCTCTCACAAAGTTCCTTCTGGACCTGAATCTGCTGCTGGGGGCGAATGCTTTGTTGACGCGCGTTGAAAGCCTTTGTGGACCACCACTGTGGTGTTTCTGAAGGGCGTGAGGAGACAGATTCAGTGAGACCGTGCAAACCGCGCAAGCTTTTAATTCATGAAGGCATGAGGCCTTTTTTTTTTTTTATCGCCCATCAAATTTAAAGAGCTAGGAGCTTTCATTATATTAGGCAATTATTTTGGTGGTAAAGCTCATGTGAAAGCAAGTTTCTGCACTAACGAGACAACATGAAGGGAATATAAACAGGGTGTTTCCAAGACCAAGGGAGCTTTATGCAGGATTTTCTCACGCTTCACGCGGCCGATGCAGCCCATGCACGAGCAGAAGCTCTCAGCTGCCAGACAGCATCTCCCACCTTGCCAGCTGGTATTTTGGAGCAACACTCATGCGTACTATTGGGGTTATAAAAAAACCAAACCAAACAACTAAAATCAGAAAAAAAACCAAAAAAAACAATAAACCCATGAACACAGTGAACATACGTCCGTTTGCACTGTTAAGACAAGTCTGCATTCAGTGGCTGCTGCCAGAAAGAAATAAGAAGCTGCAGAAGGTGCCATGATAAATCATAGAATGGCTTGGAAGGGACCTTAAAGATCATCTTGTTCCAACCTCCCCACCATGGGCAGGGACACCTCCTACTAGGCTGGGTTGCTCACAGCCTCATCCAGCCTGGCCATGGACACTTCCAGGGAGGAAGCGCCCACAGTTTCTCTAGGCAACCCGTGTCGCTGTATCATCATCCTCAGAGTAAAGAACTTCTTTCTTCTTCCTAATGCGTTATCTAAATCTACCCTGCTCCAGTTTAAAACCGTTGCCCCTTGTCCTACCCACGCCATGCTGACTGCAGGGTCCTGTGCACGGCCAGGCTGTGCCTCTCGGCAAATCCGTCACACGGATCAACGCCAACAAGGGATCTGATGTGAAGCTTTACCCGTAGAATCACAGAATGTTGGGGTTGGAAGGGACCTCTAGGGATCCCCCAGTGCAACCCCTGCCAGAGCAGGGTCACCCAGGGCAGCCACACAGGAACGCGTCCAGGCGGGTTTGAAAGTCTCCAGAGC